AGCATCTATGGACGTGATTCGCCCTCTCTTCCCAGGTCGCCTTATTTCCAGGTTTGGCAATGTTCATTCGCCTCCTCAGTCCCCAGATTCATCCATATGCGATTTTTTCTTATGAGGACACCTCAAGGCTAGAGTATACGCGAACAAACCCGAACTCTGGACGAATTGAGGGGCGAAATTCGCGTGGAAGTCGCCCAAGTTGAGAGAGCGATGTTGGAGAGAGTCTACGCGAACTTCCAAGAACGCCTCCAGCACTGCATCAACGATTCCGGCCACCACATGCCTGATGTGATTTTCCACGCTTGACTGTCTCAAATGCTATTTCCTTGTGAACCTAATTCCATCAATAAATTTGTTTTCGAGTAAAAATTAACTATTTTAAGATTTTTTTACAATCGTCCATCCTCTCTGCCGCACCCTGTACATTAAAGTAACAAAATATCCAATATCCACCTGAACCAATATAGTCCAATCTTGTAGCATTTGGCGTAGGTAATGATCGTGGTTCAGGAACTTTGTATTCCGTCGAACAACCGGGTGGGAGTCCATTTCGTTAATAAAATTTTCCGATCATGTCCGGAGCGATGCAATCGTTATCCGGTAGAGGGGGCTCGATAGCTTAGGGTACTTTTACGATCGTCACGTACACTCGTCAGCTAATTGAGCACTGGATTCCATTGAGAGTCACTCGTAGCTAGAATGAGCCAATATGTTTTGAGTTTTTGTCAGATTTTAAGACAAAGTACAGAATATTTCTCTATAGTGGAACTTCTAAAAGTATTCTGAGTGACAGACATTTCATAGCTACGCTATAGGGATCTCGTGAAAATTTGGCAAGCACAGGGTTATTGCGTAAAAAACTTATACTTATAAAATAAAAAATCAATGAAGTTGCATCTTATTGACTATGTAAACTAGTGTGGTTAGGAGCGAGCATGAATGTCACATAAAATGTCACTTTTCAAGTTACCGTAGTACCCCTGTGGCATGGGTATTATGTATCTTGGAAAGTGATATTGTGTATCCGATTTTTTTGACAATGTATTGGTTTTTTGTGACAATATGTAAGTTTTTCTACAAGATGTTTCCTTAGCTGATGGACATTTGTGTACTCGTTTTTTAGTTGTACGTGTTGCCTAGACGTCATGTTGCTTCAATTATCAATGTTTGGCTCTGATGTGGTGTAAAATCTGCTTCAGAGATGGCATTCCTGGAGGTCTAAGCTGTAAGTTGTATGCTGTACCTAGAAGGAAAGGCAATGCATAGTGAGGATTTTTATGCTAATAATATGTGTTGATAATTTCATTGGATTCTTGCCTCAAAGACACTTACTTGAGATTCAAAGCTAGAAATAAGTTGCGCCATCCACTTTTTCTTATTCATTCTGGAACTTACATATGCAAATTTGCTTAATGTCAAAAATCAGAGATATAAAAGAGAAAAACCCTGGTTGGTGAAGAAACAGGTGAGAAAATATGCTACAGACAGCAATATTCATGAAAGTGAAAATATTTGATGTGCGATGCGTCATTACCAATTTGTTTGTGATATGGCTTAATTGCACACCACGCGGGCGCGGTCGCATTGTCTCGTAGTTTTTGAAAACATTGGGAGTGCAAAATTCTTAAACCAGACGTCCCCTTCACTGTGAGGCCCCTCCTCTCCTAGAACCTGACACAAACAGTGCGTCATGCCCGTAATCTTGGATTTCTTGTCCACTGCGATTACATGTCTGACGCTACTACAGTGCATGAGGAATATAAGGCCCGATTTTTCTAATTGGGGTCACAAGCTATACAAATCATAAGGCGTTTTATAGTAATGGACCTAATAAGTATAGTCAATGTCTCGTAAGATATCTCTCAAACTAGAAAAAAATATACGATTTGGGTCAGCTGATCTCCCAGTTCTCATACTAGATCAAGAAATACTTCATGTACTCGTATCACCTGGCTTAGCTACAAAAGTCCATTCTTTCGTTTCACCCCGGGCACAAAGTTTGCGGCTAGGGCACAATTTCCACCATTCAAAAGAATGATTTACGTCCCAGTTGCAAATATCGACCAATCAAAAAGACAGAGCATTTTATTGAAAGTAACAGTGTCACTACTTACCTAAGGGAGATAAGTTTCAAGGAAAAATTATTTTTTACAATTAGTCAACGTGTCCATTGACAAAACCCTACTTTTTCTCTTATAGGTTTGTATCAGGTCAGTCAAGCTAGATCATTGATTTTGGTGCTTGCTTTGTTTTAAATATATACATATTCTTTAATGAGGTCACTTTTATGAACATTCCTTGAGGATTCAGTGATACTTCCTTGACGAACATTCAAGGGATTATTTAACATTCCATTTCACGGTAGGCTGTGAATGTTACTGGCCGTATCTATTTAGACATTTTGATGATACATTTTGGACCACATGCGAGTCTATAAACTGAGGGGGCTAGGCAAATATCGGCAGTCAGTATTGCAATAACCTGCATTGCTTGTTGTACATTTGATAGTCTGATCATTCAATATAACTTAAAATTTTTAACTACCTTGCTCATAGACTGTAAATTAACTGGCGGGTTCTGCTATTATTGATAACAGTGAACCTAAAAAAAATCTCCGAAAGAGAGAAGCAAAAATTCTGATAGCCTACAAATATTCCATTTACTTATCTAGTTATCTCATAAGCGCTGCACTTCTTTCTGCTCAATGATTTCTCATAATTTATTAAACTCAAGTTTTCATAAAACCGAGTAATTCCCGTCAGGGTTAGTATGTTTCGTTATGAACAAAAAGTGATATTATAATAAAGGCTTGTCATCTATCTTGAAAATGAGCGCTACTGGACCAATCTTCATAGAATCAACCACGTTGTCACCCGTCGAAGTGTGTCCAGGTATTTAACGAACACCTTGTTTATAAGCAAATCAGTAGGACAGAACTTGTTCAGGCGGTCTGTCACGAACAAAATTTAGTGCACACCATTATGCTATGTTCGTACGAAATTAAGATTAGTTTCAGACAATATTTAGTACATAGATTTATATTCACAAGGTAGTTTTTTACCACCTGCTCTTATTACTTTGATGCCCAAGGGGCGCAGCAGCACACTGTGCATTTTGACTTTAAAGAGGCCGCTGTAGGCGCCAATCATTAGAAAACCGGATTTGGGATGATCAGCGCCGCAGTATAGGGCCAGTGAAATCACGGTGGCTAATATTTGTTAGACGAGCGGATAGAGTACCAATATAACCCGAAGCACAAAACATATAAGACTGAAGAAGTGGGAACTGCACGTTAAACAATGGCAACACTGTTGACGTTTGTCCGATGGTTGCGACGCCTATTTGCCTGGAGATCAGGAGGAACTATTGAAAGAATGCCCAGAATGGGCCTGTAATAAGGAATGCTAGGAATGTGCCCAATACCCAATAAAGGTAATATCTCTTTCAGCAGTTAGCAGTTTCGCTGAGAACAAGATTCGGAATAATAAGATCTAACCCTATGAAGCATTAAATATATTTAGTTTCAAAAAATAATCATACGCTGTTGAAAATGGTATAAAAATTGTATTACATGGAAATATAGACAGATTTATTTCAAATACATGTTGTGTGTTGCAAAACACAGGTGTCTGACTTCATTATACTGCTTCTTGATCATTCTAAAACAATACAGAAAACACTAATGTAATTGATAATTCGTTGTAAATAAGCTACTCACTTTTAATTAGTTTGCTCAGTTCTATGCCTTTAATGTGTCGGCGTTTCATACTTTATATAACGCTGCTGCTACACGGGTTATAAAGAGGCTGAATCCAGACATGCAATTTTAAATAATCTACCAACACTACATCATGTCGATATGTTAAGTTCACAGCCTACCTATAGCACTTTATGACTTATGACAGAGTCTCCTCAACTTCTGCATCACCCACAATAGTCACAATACATCTCACGTATACCGTCAGCTACTAATAGTATTTCTTTATATTGTATGCTCATTTTTTAGGAAATACAGTACCGACAATCCGAACAATATCGGACCGACCCCTGTTCGGATTGCGTGATTGTTCGGATCGGCCGGAGTAACGGATTAGCCTCCAATTTTTCTTACTAAACATTAGTGTTCTGTTCTGTAGTTTAATCCATTTTAAAATTTGTACCATAACTTGATGTACAGTGCGTAAATATTAAATGAAGAACTGTTTTGAACTAAGGTTTACACTGTTTTATATTGAAATTTTCACCGATTTTCGTCCTTAAGATTATAAAATTTTCGCCGCGGACCCGTTCGGATTAACCGGATGTTCGGATTAGCCGTGTTCGGATTAGCGGGACTGTACTGTATCTCCAAAAGCATCAGCGTTGACAATCTGGATATTAATCAGAACAAATGCCATCTTTGATTTTTTTACATTTAGATAATGATAGATAATCCCGGCAAGTAGCAGGTCACGTGATGCCGGTAATGCAGTTTCCTCGATTTCGCCTTGAGAAGATGATCTTGGTGTTGCCAGTTTGCCCATAAGACGTCTCACCCCCTGACCCGAACTGTGGACCTCAGCCAGAAGCAGCAGTACAAGGTCGGACTATGTTTTCAGCACTGACAGCAGCGTTGACCTATGCAAACATTTTCTGTCTATAGATGAATGAGTCAGAACAAAGACTTTTAGAATAACTTCAGCGAAGAAGCTTCCAATTCTCAAAACTAAACTCGGTAACACATTTTTTAAAAACAATTTAAAGTGGGTTTGTGGTTATCGAGATGGAGATTATTGATTGTCAGTTGAGGCATCTTTTGAAAAGAAAAGTTGGCAGAGATTTGGAATCCTAAACAGTATTGGAATATCGTGTCAATCCATTTTATAATTTGTTACAGAATCTTCTAGATTTTTTTCGTGACACACGGCCTTCGGAATCACAAAACCAATAGATGGCACTTGTCATTCTCAAATCAAAGATACACGCTGCATATTTTTAATAAACCTATCATAAACAAAATATCCCCCAATAGTTTTCACATTCACATATTCTATACAAAAACCCTTTTCTTCCTATTGTACTGCCGAGTCTGGTTTTGACAGTGCAAAACTGAATACGGAAATTATTGATGGATGCTTCTGTACCTCAACAATGCCTGCAAAATAAAATTCATCAATTTAAACTTTTATTGCCATAATGGATTGGGACACTTCAAAGTATAATCCAATGATTGATATCATCATTTATTTTCATAAACTTGTACGTAGACCTCTACTGGAAAAAAGTATATGTACAGGGTTCTTCTGAATGAGCTGTTTGGATATTCCGGATATTTCCATAACAAGGGACACGTTTTTGGTCAAATTTGAGGTTATTTTATCCTCTTCCGATTTCTAGGTATTTTTAGGTATTTATGAGGCCTACAAAATGAGACCTTACGTAACAAGATCCGACTAATAGCAAAAAAGTTATGGGCGAAAACCGTGGCAAATTGCAGGTTTTGGCACTTGTTAGTAATGCCACGATGATTTCTTGCAGATATTTGAAATTCTCCAAATTTGTAGGATTCGTACTTCTAAATAACCACAACAAAATTGGAGTAAATTGGTCAAGTTGTTTTTCCGACCATCACTACTAGCTCGTTGAACAATATACAGCGTTAGTTCAAAGGCAAAGGGCATCTTATAGCAAAATACACTAGTTTACCTTGCCGATATGAATCGCAAACCATTCCGGAAGATTAATGTTATTTTTATGCAAAAAAGGATGGGTTACGTTTTTTCTTCTAAACAAATTCAAGCATTTCGTATTTGTTTTATAATTCGCAACAAAAGATTATAGACACTTTCGCTTTGTTTTAGAATATCTATCGTAACGTATGTTTTTTGAATATCGTAGCGCATTTGTTCAATTACTCACAAATACGAAATGTTTGAATTTGTTTAAGAGAAAGAAACGTAACCTTTGTTTTTCGCCTAAAAATGACACTTATCTCTCGGAATGGTTTGTGATTCTTATCGGTAGGTAAACAGGTGTATTTTACTATTAAACGCTCAATAAACTAGTAGTAAAATCCGGAAACCAGGTGTTTTGGGATAAACAATTAGAGATTCTGAAAAAACTATTTGTAAAATATAATCCAATTTTGTTGTTGTTGCAGAATAAATCCTACGGATTTGAAGAGTTTCAAGGAGTTGCGTGAAATTACCAACAAATGTCAAAACCTGTATTTTGACTCGTTTTTCGGCCATAACATTTTTGCTATCAGTCGGATCTTTTTAGGTGTGATCTCATTTTGTATATCTCCTTAAATACCTAAAAATATTATATGAACAGTTTTTTCGTTCCATTCTTTGTTGTCAGAAGAAAATTTTCCTACAAAAATTGGTGTAAAAGGAAATGTTATCCAACGGAAAACGTTTACTGATATGTTAACGTTTTTATCATACAATATATTTAACAAATAATTTAAAATGTTTACGTTTTATTATCCACAGCACACAAACGCGATTCAGAGAAACACCTGCATTTTAACCAGACTAAACAAGGCTATCAACCAAAGATCATTCTACTTTCTAGGCCCAAAATCTTATAATTTTATTTCTGCCAGCTTTGAATATGAAAAATCCAAAGGAAATTTGTTATATTTTAGTAATCCGAGTGCAACTTAAACTTTTTTCAGTATCTTAGAACTGGGAAAAGCGGTCGTATCGGCCAGTTCTGGATGTACGAAGTTCGACACGGTTAGGATGAGTCGCCAAAGTCAGGCGGGTCTGCCTGGCAGGCATATCGCGCAGCGGCATCATAGAAGAGAGCTCTGAGGAGCAAAGCTCGTTGGTGTAGCGGTAGAAAAGAAAAGAAAAGAGCTAGATCGCCGACGGCCCGCCGGTTCGAAAGGGTCCCGAGACTATTTGTTAGAGAAGAGTCATCGATCAGTCAGACCGCCCTCCTCTGGTCAGCATCGAGCATGGACAATGTAGTGAGCAATGCTCGAGGCTAGGCCTTATCTGGGCCTTGTATAGAGTGAGAAGGTCATGCGGAGAAAAGTACTTCTTACTCGTAGCCCTAAACAAATAGCCTAGCTTTTTCCCAGCAGCTGCTACTATTGACGAGATGTGTTCGTGCCAGATCAGGTCCTCGGTGATCTGGACTCCGACCAGCTGAAAGAAATGGCTCTTTGGCAGAGCTCGGCCATCCATCGAAACCGGATGAGCGCTAGGACGCTTTTTGTTCGTTAAAGTACAGTATTGTGTTTTGGAAGCAGGTCTCTTGTCAGAGAGGAAGTCGTCGCTAGTCTTCTTCTTTTCAGCTCAGCGGCAGAGATCGGCTTGTCACTCTGAATTCCTGCATGTAGAGTGCTGTTATCAGAGAAGCTGTGGATTGGATCGATCGTGCAGGAAAGGAGGTCGTTGATATGTAAGAGAAACAGTGCCGGAGCCAAGACCGATCCCTTGATTATGTATACGAAAACTTTGTCAGACCAATAAACATTGCTAATATTATGAAAAGAAAACACATTGTAGTATTTACAAGTCGAAAAATCAAGATTTACTCTCTCCCATCCCCTAAAGCTCCAACCCGCAATCCAAAAACATCTCATTTTCGAAACTCTTTGCATCGACAATACTCCCTCGTCAGTAGGCCTGGGAAATAGCAACTGATTGTATCTTAAGGCTTTGGTGTGTGATATTAAGAAAATCTTCCTACTTTCACCAGGGCTAAACACTGTATAAATGAAAGTTCCAACATTGAGGACACCCTGTATGTCTCTCTGTCCCGATACTATAGATTTGGTACCTACGTGTACTAGTCATTACCACTAACAAAAATTTTATTTTACTGGTCTAGTAGAGTAGTTTAAAGTCTACGCCATATCCGACCTCCCTGTGTGCGAGTAGGGAGCCGCAGTGGAGGACAACCAGACAAACGAATGCCAGAAATGTGCATTTGGCATGTCCGTCAACTGATTGCTGGAGGCTACCACCCCTGCCCGGTCGTTATTTTAAAAAATGCAAAGCATCGTTTTACCGCTTCAGGCCGGTTCGCAACACAAATCATGCATAATGACTTTATGGTGATACAGTTGGAGAACAGGGAACTTCAGGGAAACTAGCTCGATTACTGGCAATTAAAGGTACCTCAATCTATTATAGTTCATCAACATTTCTTAACATAATGCTTTTGCATCCTTTTTTTAATACTCCACCTACCATGAAGGCCTAAGGCCTAAACACCCATGGGATACCGTGGGGCTATATACAGCGGAAATGGGGCGCCACACGGACTCTAACGAAGGAACACATGTGCATGCACACCTTCTTGTCCCGCCTACGAGATCCGCCGGGTGGTACCTTCGCGTCCGACAGTTAGAGACCGTCTATCACCTAAGGACAATCACAACATCCATAGCCAAGAGAAAAATTTATCTTGGGACTGGATTCGAACCCGCGCACGGCGACTGATTAGTAAACCACTGCAGCCGCCGCTGCTGCCTGCCATCTGATTTAATTATACGATAATACTGATGCTATATAATAGCTCTACTACATAAGTATAGAGAATCAATTTCACGACGAAGTTCATATAACTCCAACAACAAACTAACTAACTAGCCACTATAGGATTCTTACAAAGCATATTATATACGTTATCAGCAATAGAACGTAAATAAACATTTGATAAATTAAGATGTGCCCTGAATGTCCCCGTGTTCCTAGATGAAAGTAGAAGCATAGTTGTTCCTAAGACCAGGGACATATTCCTATATATGACATCAATGATGACAATCTCGAGAGGGGAGGTAGCACGTGATCACCGGCTTTCTTCAGTAAGTACACAAGATATACGCCAGTCCGCCTATGTCAACTTGAGCGCTTCGTCAGAAGACGGCATACAATATTTTTCTGTTTTACAAGATTGTCAAGTTACCTTTGGAGATACAGCAACGAAATAAAAATCAAGACCTAGAGAATTGATCCGATTAAAGTCTCCGATAGCGCTGCAGACTCTTGGGCTTATTTTACCTTGCTCCTTGAATTTACAGTTGGTACAGTTTCCCTGTCGGAACTGTTCAAAACTTCCTCGGTTCTAGATTTGGTTTCCCTTAAGGGTTTATGTCTTTTGTGATTCTGCACCTTGCACTCATATAAGATATGTAGGGCTGATTCTGTTCCTTTTTCGCATTGCCTGGAGTTCAGGCCTCCATGATACAACTCTATTTTGCGCAGGTATTCTTACAGGCCATTGTGTCCTGTTAGAAGGCCTGTAACTACACGGACTTGATCTCTACTAATGGAGAGCTATTCTGCATCCAGTGACTAAGAGCCAATATTCCTTTGCTGGTATCTTACCCATTCTGTGACTTGGTTTCTTATTGTACTTTTTCATATCTCCAATGCAGGTTCTGTATAAGGCGATCATTTTGTTATTATACAGGTACGCTTCCTCATTATTAACTCTTGCGCATTCATACAGAAGTTTGTCTTCGAAGTGATACACTATGCCCAGGGTTTCACCTGTTCCCATGTATACCTGCACGTGTTCCCTACTCGGTTCTTGATCTGTCTGTATCTCGATGTTCTCTTTGAATACAAATCTGGAAACTATGTGGTATTATATCTTCCCTTTGGCTACAACTCCTATTCTCACCTCCCTCATTATTACAGATTGTATCGGTGGGAGGTCCAGCATGGTCTCAAGTGCTGCAGCTGGAGCGCCTTCATTGCACCTGTTATTAACAAGCAAGTAAGTTTTTGTACCTTGATCAATTCTGCAATGGCAGAGCATTGTCTTATCTTTGGTCGCCACTCCAAAAATGCATAAGTTAAAGCTTAATTCCCACGTTTTACCATGACAGAGTGTAGTAAACTCCAATATCCTTTTAATGCGTTTGATTTGCGGGTTCCAGATCAGTTTGGAGTCTAGTATCACCCCCAGGTATTTGACTTCCTCCGACAGTTGTAACTATTTTTTCAGAAGACAGAGGTCCTAACCCCTCTAATTTCTTCACTCTAGTGAAAGCAACTATGTCTGAGAGTGGCTTCCTTGCTGTGGATGCATTTTTTTTCCAATGTAATACTTGGTTAATTAACTACAGAAGTTATGTAACAAGCTGTATGACCTCCCTCCAAAAAAAGGTGTAAGAGTTCACAGAAA